GTGTGGCAACAAGTCCCTTGGATGTGTAGTACTTCATCTTTAAGTGAACGGTGGAGGGCACAACTATCAGCTCGGCCAGAGCTGGTCTTCTTAGGATGCATTGGTACAGAGACAGATAGCCTATTACCAGGAATTGAATTTTGACGGAGCGGGCAATCTCGACCATTCTGAAAGAGACAATCAAGTCGACATAGCCCCATGGCTTTGTGACTGCACCGTTGAAGCCCTGCAGATTATATCCCACATATGGTGTCAAGTGTGTTTCATCGAGTGGCAGAATAGAGAATAGCTTAGAGTACATGATGTTGACAGAACTTCCTTGGTCGACCAGTATGCGGTGAACGTCAAAGTTAGCCATTCGTGCTCTCACGAGCAAGGGGATGTTGGAGTTAGGTGATCCTCTCGGGAGCTTCTCGCGGTAGAATGCGATCGGGGTTGTCCTTCCCCAAAACTTGTCAAGGGTGTAATTCTGGTTTGAGCTTGCATAAATGAGTTGCTCTAATTTTCTTTTCATTGAACCCACGGTGATTTCCTCATCGGGTATGACCATGGTTGAGGGAAAAGTCACCCAATTGTTGTGTGTTGCAAAGTACAAGGGAAAGTCGGTCTTGTTAGGGACGTAGAAGTCCAGGGGACGAGAGATGCACATGGAAATATGCAGGTTGGCATCGTCCGATGGCGGCTTTTTGTCCTCAACCTTCTTTGATTCTTGGGTGTCCTACCAAGGAACATCCTTTTTTTGTGTACTGTTTTAGATGGTCATCCCTGATGAGGATCTCAATTGCGTCCTTGAGATGGTGTCACTCTTCACTAACGTGCTTGTGGCTCTTGTGGAATCAGGAGTATTTGATCTTGTACGTATTGGGCTTGGGAGGTATTTGATTGGGAAACTGACTCCAGTTTGTCTAAATTCTGAGTTCAACAATTCGGACAGGATGCCCTTGCAAGAAGCGGCTAGCAGTGTGTACACGGCGAAATGGATAATAGGTCCTTTGTACTTCCAATATTCGCGGGGTCTATCCTCTTTTCGTTTCTCCGCTCCTTGGCGAGGTGCTAAGTGGTCCTCCTTCTTTGAAGCCTTGGCGCTTTCTTGGTGTCGTGATTCTGGAGCATTATTGGCGGCCTCCTTCTCCTCGTATTGAATGTAGGTTTGGCCTTTGAGGAAGAGGGTATCTAGCGTCGCGGGTGTTTCAATTCCAATTGCTTTGGAAAACTAACTGGGGGGACACATTCCTCGCTCGAGTAAATACATCTTCATGTCGTCAGTCATAGAGACCTGGACAACTTCCCGATTGAACCTCTCGATATATGCTAAAAGGGGTTTGTCTTCCCCTGTATGATCGCTTCGAGTGTTGCCTCTGATTTCGGATGGCGACGAGAAGCTGTGAAATGCTTTAAGAACTGCTTCCCTAGGTTTTTCTAGGAGGTGATGGATTCATCAGGGAGGCTCTTGTACCACGACATGGAACCCTTCCTCGGAGTAGTGGGCAACAACCTGCATTTGATGGTGCCCCTAACGTTGCGACAATCGAGCAGGGCATCAATGTTTTCAATGTGCTCGTTGGGGTCAGTTGTTCCATCATACATCCCTAAGTTTGGTGGCTTTTCCATCCTAACGGGGAGGGGAGTATCTATGATTGCTCGAGATAGAGAATAGCGGGGGTCGTCTTCGTCGCTCCAGTCTGGTGAGAGTGGTGAAGAATAGTTTCTTGGTCGGAACTTTGGCTTGGGCGGAGGCGAACGACGTTTGTATGATCATCGATCGGCTTTGGTTTTTTTGGAAATTGGGGAGCGTCAATCATTGTGAGAAGGAGTGTGATTGTTCTTCTTGACCAACAAGGGTTCCCTTTTTTCTAGTGCCCGACGACGACTAGGTTGTCGTGGCGACAGACTTCGAGATCCATATCCTTGGTGTCTCTGTGGAGGAGACATTGAAAGGTGTTCTTTCACTAATGCACTGATCCTTTCATTGTGTTGGTAGATCAAGGTGTTGGTCTGGTTGAGCGTCGGGACCAGTGTCACCATAATCAGATCAGCATTGGAAGGCACCAGAATCGGTGAAAGCTCTTTGGCACCCCTTTTTGTGTTTTCTTGGTTTCAATGAACTGGACGTTGTTGTCATCCACCTCGTCGGAGGAAGGAGATGTAGTGCGACCGTCTCTCCTTAGGGGAATGGTTTCTTCGAGAAATGGCATTTCTCTGTCGTTGTCAATTTTACAGAAAGGTGAGATGACAATTTTGTGAGTTCTATTGCCATCGTCTTGACCGGCCATGACTGGATCTTGAAGGTTTGCTTTGATCTTTTGGTTTTAAGGAAAGAAAAGATAGGGAAACAATGATTCCCACATACGACATCATTGATCTTATCGGTGATCAGAATCTGTACTAGACCGGTAACTTCGTCCATATTGTTGTAATAGGCCGTGTACCAGCAAGGCACTCAGATGCTCAAGTAAGTAACAATGTTGATGTAAGTGAGAGAAAATACGTTAAGAGTTCAATACCTGACCCTCCTACACATGAGGCAATTTATAGTGCCTCTAGTGCTGGGTCAATGATTCTCATTATTGGCCGAATATCTAGGCCCAAAAGTAAGTAACTACAAGGATTCCTGCATGAAAGCAGAGACGGGTAACTCGTGCCCGCCATCCTGGGGAGTTGCCCCGCGTCTCGCAGAAAATGCACGGTTTGGCCGTCACAAAGGGCATAAACGTATATTGTCAGCTACGCGAGATGTGCAGGGTCAGTTGGCCATGTGTCCTCGGGAGAGGGGCACACGAGAGGTGTGCTTCCTATTGGCCCTAATGGATTTTTCCAGCGCTTCTGAGTCGTCCTTGACACAAGGGTGGATCGGACTAGCCACAGGCCCAATCCAGATCAATATCAAATATTATACTAATGAAAATAACAAAATACTATAAAAAAAGATAACATAATTCATACACAATAAATATTTTAGTCTTATTTTGGACAAAATGGTCTAACAAGCCAATCATTACTCCAACTATGTATATTCCCTTATATTAAGAATATTTCTCTCAAATTTCAAAAATAAAAGAAATGTCAAAATCCAAACACAATACAATTGTTTTCTTGAAAATATAACAATAAAAATAACATTTGAAATAAATGTTTTTAATCTTAAAGTAATTCTTACACAATTTTTAAATATAAGTCACTTTAAGTTGATCTTAAAAAATAGTATAATTAGCAAAGTTTTATAAAGTTTGACAAAATAGACATAAATTTTATAAAGTTATTGAAAGTTCTATTTAATGATAATTGAATTAAAATTTTTAACTTTATTTAACACTAAAAATAAACATACATATTTAACAAATTAAAGTAAAATTTCTAAATAAAAGATTAGTGCAAAAAAACATGAGAATCAAAATAAAACAAAAAAATTACTTTATAAATGTGTAAGTTTGCAAACCTAAATTACGTATATCACTTTCAATTTACACGCATGTGTTTTCTTTTCAAATGAAAATATATATTTATTTATGTGATTAATTTATATTATTATCTCTATTAAAATTTATAAAAATATTATAATACAAATTTAATAATCGTATTTTGTCAAAACTAACTCTTAATATATTTAAAATTCAATAAAAAAAATAAACAAACTAATTTAGAGTTGTGCATTGCGTGGATGTTAGTCTAGTTTAATCTTATAAACTATTGTCAATATACAATTGATCAAAACCTATTAAAGATCTAAATTATTATGATACTCTCTTTATTGATACATTGACAACTATAGATTCATGAAAGTTAAGATGATAATTTTTCTTTCATTGAAACCATTAAATGTTAAATGTTTGGTCCGCTCTCGGCAATTATATCAGACTATAATTATAGTGTGATTTTAAAATGATGTCTGACTATATTAAAAATTACATCAGAGAGTTTCAATCATGTTTCTTTAGGTATTTTCATTAAAAATGAAAATATTAGAATCTTTAAACTCAATTTACTTCTTATATAAGAAAATATGTAAATATGAATTATTTTTTAACATTTTATTTCTGCTTATAAAAATTCACACAGCAATAACCCCAATGCACATCGCAATAAATACAATGATTGCGATTGCAACACCTGCAATTGCAACCACATTCGTAACGGCAATTTAAATCCATGATGAACACCTACTGCATCTGAATTTCCTCAAGTTCACAACTCCATTTAATCCCCCAACCTGTTGCATTCTATTTGCATTATAACAATTTTATGAATCAAAACTTGTCAATTTTAACACTTTTAAAAAATAGGATAACACGGTGTTATGAATCAGAATTCAACCAGGAAATTCATTCAGCCCTGATTTCATCTACATTTCTTAAAATTCACTCACATAAAGTGTTGTGAATCGGACTATATATCAAGTTTGCTTCGTCATTAAAATACTCAATTAGATTTGACCATGAAATGTACATATTTTTTAGGAATGTTTTAAAATTATAATATATATATAGCATATTTGTATCTATAATTTTGGCTTTATGTAAAAGTTCAACATGGATTTGTCATAACATTAAAAAAACTTTAAGGTGTAACCCACTTTTTCATCTTGTAAGGTACTACTCTAATTATTAACTTGTTATAGATTTATCTATTTGAAATCCGTAAAATATAGTAAGATAGTATCTTTTGTAGTAGTTATATCATTTGTAGCAACTTACACGTCAAAAGAAGATAATAATTTTCATTTTTGGCATATAATATTATTGATTGTGTCGGTGTATTTTAAAATGTTAAGATCATGCACCGTGTTGTTTCCAATTTACACATAATTTCAAACAACACTTCCATATGAAAACAAAATCAGAAGTAAATCCTTACCAACTATATTGACTTTTGGTACAAGAAAGGGCTTAGTCATTCCCAATTCATGATTATGGCTTGCAGCTGTATGAATTCATCAAGACCATGACTAGTATAAAAGCGTGTAGTGAGTGTTATGTTTTATTCATCAAACTCGAGTCACTAACATGGCTTCTTTAAGCTTCTTAGCGTTGCTCCTTTTTGCCCTTTTTATCATCCCTCGTGGTCTTGCCAACTACTTTGAGCCTCCTGAATATAATCCACCCGTTGAGAAACCTCCACCATTTGAGAAGCCTCCGTTTTACCATCCGCCGGTAGAGATACCGCCTATATACAAACCACCAGTTTATCATCCTCCTGTAGAGATACCACCTATATACAAGCCTCCTGTTGAGAAACCTCCGATTTATAAACCACCATTTGAGCATCCTCCTTGGTACAAGCCACCAGTTGAGCAACCTCCTGTGTACAAGCCACCTGTAGAAAAGCCTCCAGTTTATAAGCCACCTGTGTACAATCCACCAGTAGAGAAACCTCCGATTTACAAACCACCAGTAGAAAAACCTCCAATTTACAAGCCACCAGTTGAGCAGCCACCTGTGTACAAACCACCAGTAGAGAAACCTCCAATTTACAAGCCACCTGTTTACAAACCACCAGTAGAGAAGCCACCTATATACAAACCACCAGTAGATAAACCACCTGTCTACAAACCACCGGTATATAAGCCACCAGTAGAGAAACCACCTATCTACAAGCCACCAGTCGAAAATCCTCCTACTTACAAGCCACCTGTAGAAAAACCACCCGTGTACAAGCCACCAGTTGAGAAGCCTCCTACTTACAAGCCACCCGTGTACAAGCCACCAGTCGAGAAGCCACCTGTGTACAAGCCCCCAATTGAGAATCCTCCCATTTACAAGCCTCCTGTTTATACACCACCGATTCAGAATCCCCCTATTTATAAGCCTCCATTTGAGAAGCCACCAATTTATCGACCTCCATATGAACACCCACCAATTTACAAACCTCCACATGAACATCCACCGATTTACAAACCACCATTTGAGGAGCCTCCATTTTACAAACCTCCACATGAACATCCACCCATTTACAACCCACCATTCCAAGAACCACCTGTTTACAAGCCTCCATTCGAGGAGCCTCCAGTTTACAAGCCTCCATTCGAGGAGCCGCCTCACTATCCAAAGTACCCTCCGGTAGATGATGCTACTCGTTTCTAGAACATGGTGTTATAACTATAAGTAAATATGTAAAATAAGTTATATGTAAAGTTTTCTAAGCAAGGATTATATATTCTTGAAACCTTCATTTCAATCCTTTGTTTGCAATGCTATTGCCTGCTCAACAATGTGCACCAATGTATGATAGAGAAAGAAATTAATGGTGCTGTTGTGTTATTTCAAGTTATGAATAAGAACATTATTAGATGTTATGTGAGTTTACTAATCACGACATATTATATTGTTAGCTTACGATATTCTTAAACAACCTGTACTAAAATAAATCTTGTTAATTCCTTTGTTATATAAGTACGGTGCATGAAAATTCATTCATATGTCAGGATTTAGAATTTAAAAATCTACTCGAACCTAAACTAACATGGAATTTCATGCACAACAAACATATTTTCAAAAAAACAAAGTACATCTTAAGTTGAGTACTAACCGTACACTATGTTTTTCACCAGATTTTAGAAATTTTTCTGCTGCTGATATTCGTGTTAATATTGGTATCCACCTAAAATTTTCGTAGATAATTATTTTAGGAGGTAGATCATGAAGAGAATGATAATATATTATTCTAGTCATAAATGCTGACTATTTATAGATACAAAAGATACATGATTGTATAACTAATTCATAATCTAAAGAGAGCTCTTATGCCGATTCCTAACATCAAGGCATGAATGATTTGAACTATAACAAGTCATACGTACACTAATAGAAATGGTTGATTACACCTAAATTATAGGAGTAACTTATAATCAAGTCATATGCATACTAATAGGAATGGTTGGTTACACCTAAATTATAGGAGTAACTTATAATTATCTGTTATTATGTCCCCTCAAAATTGGGTCACCATCAATGACACAAATTTTGTCTCTGAGAAATGAAAATCTGGTTCGATGCATAGGCTTTGTTAGAATATCTGTCGGCTGGTCTTTTGTAGAAATATGAGAGACTCATATTATTCCAAGTTGAACCATTTGTCGCACAAAATGATAATCTAGAGCAATGTGTTTCATCCGAGAGTGAAATACTGAATTGGAGCATAAGTAGGTTGTGCCAATATTGTCACAAAAGAGAGTAGGTATGTGACATGGTACTCCAAGTTCACTCAATAGATTGAGCAACTACATAATCTCCGTTGTAGTATTGGCAGCAGATCGGTATTCTGCTTCTGTGGATGATCTTGCAACTGTTTTCTGCCTTTTTGATAGCCATGAGACGGGATTTCCACCAAAGTAAATTATGTAAACTGAAGTAGATATTTTGTCATCAAAATTACCTCCCAAATCAACATCAGTGAAGGCTTGTAATTTGAGATGAAGTGGTTTTGCTAGCCTAAACTACTCAAACCTAAACTAACATGGAATTTCATGGACAACAAACATATTTTCAAAAAAAATAAGTACATCTTAAGTTGAGTACTAACCATACACTAGGTTTTTCAACAGATTTTAGAAAATTTTCTGCTGCTGATTTTCGTGTAAATATTGATATCCACCTGAAATTTTAGTAGATAAATATTTTGGGAGGTAGGTCATGTGATAAATCCGTAAGTAAGTGTGCAAAAAATATCGTTGGTAAACTCAAAGGTAATTCCACACGTAAGACCGCAGATAAATCCTTCAAAAACATAGAATCTGCATGTAAACCGCAGCTAATCTATTGTTAAATTTAAAAAAGTTAAATAAAATAAAAAATATAGGTTAAATTGAGATAACATTGTATACATGTGTTTTCAATTTCATATGTCAAACACGAATGCTATTTTTATACCATAATTTAACACCAGTATGTGCGAATATTGCGGTGAAAAATGTCTGTAAATAACGCATGAACAGTTATTTTTAATGATAAAATAAAATTGATTAATGAAATGTAAAAAATTGGTTAATAAAATAATGATGTTGGTTAATAAACGTTAAGATAATAAAAATAATATAGTAATAAAATAAAGTTTATTAATGAAATGTAAAAAATTAGTTAATTAAATGATAAAGTTAATTAATAAACACCTAAACATCAAAAATAATTTTTAAAAGTAAAATTAAGTTGATTAATGAAATATAAAAAATTGATTAATGAAATTATAAAATTGGTTAATAGACTATCGAGATTTTTAGTAGTTATGAAATTAGTTAATGAAATTTAAAAGATTAGTCAATGAAATTAAGAAGTTACTTAATCACAAAATTTTATTTTCCTACACCCTCAATCTAAAAAAAGTAAAAGAATAATTTTTTTTAAAATTATTATTAAATTATTTCATTGTTCATAGTAATAATGAAAAGTGAAATACAGTATAAGTGAAGGAATATGGTGTAAAAATAATATTTTTCAAATTTAAGTAAACTTGTGGTTTATTCTGTATATTTTGGCACTAGGCTCGACCCAAAGCAGAAGCAAGCTAGCTGAAGATGTAGAGTTGACCCAAAGCAGCATATGAGAAGCAAGCTAGAAGATGTCCTTCACAAGCTTAGTGTATGTTGTTACAACACCATCACTAAAAGACATTGTGAAACTAGACAATGCATATTCAAGGAGGCTTAGGAATTTGATGGCTTTCAATCACGTTTAAGACAAGAACAAAAATTATCCTTTATGAAGCAATAATGGTAGAATTTCCAAGAGAACAACTAGCTTAATAGAACTGTTTTTGTTGAACATAAAGAGAAAGTGAAGATTAGCGAAGTAACTTGTTAGGTTCGGTGTAATATCACACTTTATCAATGAAATAATAGTTCTTGAATGACTTTCAATGGTGTTTTAACTTATCTTTCACATGGTATCATGGACCTTTAAATTCATCACCACCATTTTCGCTGCACACTTGCATTGATTTCACAAATCTCAATCTCTTTCTCATCTTCTTTATCTTCTATTTTTCTTTTTTAATTTCTGCTTCAACAATGTTAGTTGAAAGCTCTTCGAGCTTTAATGGTGGTCTCACTCATACTTCGAGTCTTAACAAGGATTATCAAAATGATATTTCCAATCTCTATTACATGCATCCAAATGAAAATCTCACACTGGTGCCTATTGAAAGCGGGAAATTATCATTCATAGTCGAGGTTCATGATCATGGCGCTAAGATCCAAGAACAAGCTACATTTCATCAATGGAACTTTACCATGACCACTAGATGAAGATCATAATTATATTGCATAGGATCGTTGTAACACCATGATTATGTCATGGTTAAACAATTATGTTGAATATAAGATTTCTCAAAGCATCTTGTGGATGGAAACCACATCAAGCATTTGGAAGGATCTAAAGAATCAATTCTATCATGGTGATGTGTTCAAAATCTCATATATTCTAGAGGAAATATGCACCTCAAACAAGGTGTTTCCTCTATTACCTCATATTACACAAACTAAAAAGTGTTATGGCAAGAATTAGATGACTTTCATCCAATCATTCCAAGAATTAGATGATGTTCTTCTTATGAAAGGATTAATTGCTAATCTTATTAGCATTAGTCAATTATGAGACCAAGGATTGTTAGTCAACTTCTCAAAGTCAGAATGTCTTGTCAAAGATGAGAAATATGTTATTCTGATGAAGGGCGTTAGATATAAAGACAACTGTTATTTGTGGGAATCTCAAATAACTGCTTATTTTTCCACGTGTTTGATAACCAATGAAGATGAAGTAAAGTTATGGCACCAAAAACTTGGACACCTTTATCTAAGAAGAATGAAGGTAATCATATCTGAATGAGCCATTAGAGGAATGTAAAAACTCAAGAATGAAGAAGGGAAAGTTTGTGGTGAGTGTGAAACTAGGAAGCAAACTATGATGTCACACTCAATGTTGCAACAACGGACTACTTCCAAAGTGTCAGAACTTCTTCATATAGATATAATAGAACCAATGCAGATAGAAAGCCTGGGTGGAAAGAGGTATGTCTATGTGGTAATAGATGAATTTTTTGGGTATACTTGGATGAACGTTCTTAGAGAAAAATCAGATGCTTTTGAAGATTTCAAAGATATGTGTCAAAGCATTCAAGAGGAGAAGAATAGTGTGATTGTCAAGGTTAGAAGTGACCATGACAAGGATTTTGAGAATGCAAAATTCTATGAATTTTTGGACTCTGAAGGTATTAGTCAAGAATTCTCTTGTTCCATCACTTCTCGGCAATATAGGATTGTTGAACAAAAGACTAGAGGTATACAGGAATCATCTAGAGTCAAGCTTCATGCTAAGGAATTTCCATTGGAGTTTTGGGCTGAAACTATAAATACTGCATGTTATATTTATAATAGGGACACTTTGAGAGAAGGTACTCCAACCACTCTCTATGAGCTATGGAAAGGAAGGAAGTCTAAAGTCAAATACTTTCATATATTTAGAAGTAAATGTGTGATACGGTGGGAGAACTGACTTGATTATTTTGCGTTTTATCGCAAATATTGCGGTTAGCAAGAGTCGCCACCGACTTTTCTTTTATCCAAAAGGAAAGGTGAAAAAGCATAGGAAAGACCTTTGAGACTGTTTCTTGAGTTCGGGGGATAGACACTACTACGAAAATGGGCTTTCACAACGCTTTTTTTTGCCCTTTAAAAGCGCTGCCGTAGCCAGCGCTGGCGTAGGCTACGAAAGCGCTTTTTTCTGGCCAAAAGCGCTGTCGTAGGTGGACCTATCCCAGCGCTTTTTCCTTAAAAAGCGCTTTGATAGGGGGGTCTTTCCCAGCGCTTTTTGAAAAGCGCTTTGATAGGTGTGCTATTTAAATTTTTTTTTTATTTATCAGGCCTTTTACAGCGCTTTTTATGGAAAAAGCGCTTTGATAGGGGGGTCTTTCCCAGCGCTTTTTCCATAAAAAGCGCTTTGATAGGGGTTCTATTTAATTTTTGTTTTTTTATTTATCATGGCTTTTACAGCGCTTTTTATGGAAAAAGCGCTTTGATAGGGGGGTCTTTCACAGCGCTTTTTCCATAAAAAGCGCTTTGATAGGGGGTTTCTATTTAATTTTTTTTTTATTT